CGCAGCAGACGAGATTCCCGAGGAAGTCCGCCTTCAGCGATCTTGGATTCACGTGGCGATCGCCAAAGCTACCTTCGAAACCCACTTGAACTTCACTAGAAATACGACAAAAACTTTTCTCCTGCACCTCTGTGTATGAATGAATGGCTAACATAGTCATATATTAGTTAGGATGACTTATTCTGTTTCTCTATATCAAATTTATATTTGAAAATACACCTACATACAATAATCTCAAAGCATTCCTTCATTACAGTAGATTTCATCCAGTTTTGCATGACATTAAACCAAACATGAGCAAAGAAAATTCCAAACTCACTGAGCTTTGACGAAGTCTGGACTGGCGCGCTGGATAATTTCCTTTGCCGCCTGCTCCAAACACACAATTTCCTCGACAAAATTGTGAATAAGACTAAAATATATAATTACTCAAATCATTAATGCTCATACAAGCTGAACAAATGATATTTGACTAACCCTGACGCCCTTTCAGCGGATTTCCTGCGAATATCGTTGAGGTTCACAATAAGTCTGGGAGTTTCAGTGCTAATCATATCCTCTACTTTCTGCACGTAAATCTTCCCTTCAGCCTTAAATATATATATGCAAAAAACGATAAGATCTCTCTAAAATATCTATCCGCACTTACTGAGTCATCAAGGATATTCAGATACTGCTGGATTAGTTCGCGATTTCTCGCCTCGTTAGTCCTATCCACCATGAAGTTACCATCCATTTCTGGATTAAATTGCGTTAAAAAATAGCTAAAAGCGAAAGAAGTGCCAGCACAACTATGCGGAAAGTCAGAAGGTAAAAAAAAATCACATTTGGAGGGCACAGCGATTTCCCGCACTAATTCGAAATATTCTGCTTCGCGCCAAATTCGCAGTTAAGGATTGGGCCGCACTTTGCCCGAAGGTCGCGGCGCTCATGCAAGGTTGAATGGAAAGTTCTCATTCAATCCTACTATTGGCAATTTGAAAAGTCTTTTCCATTAATAGTAGAACTTCCATTATTTACGCAGAAAGAATGGATAGCAATGACAGAATAGA